GAATCATTATAAACATAATAATGAATTCAAAATTTTTGAAAAATTCTAATATTAATGGAAATTAAAAAGACCGTAACCCGACTAACCCGCGGTTAATTGTGTAACATGTTGATCATTTTTATTTTATTTATTTTTATTTTTTTTTTTATAATATTTTATTTATTTTTTTATCATAATTATTTCATGATAGGATAAAATTCAGAACTGTGTATGGAAGAAAACATTTCCCGCGGATAATTATTAGAGTTAAAAATTTTATATGGCAAAATTATCTCAATTTAACAATAAATAAAAAGTATTAAATATAAATAATGATTCTATATTAAATATTTTGAAGATCGTGAAAATGGGTCAATGATTATCAAGTAAGGGGCATTTTTATTCTTTCACAATTTTATCAAAAAAAAAAAAAAAAACCAGTTAAACTATAAATATAAATAAAATGATCGAATTAATGTGGTATTTTTAGGAAAAAGTTTATTTCATTTATTTCACACATTATTATTTGATGTTTGCTGCCAATCAAAAATTTGAAACAAATGTACATTAAAACCTTAATAGTATGAGTTCCAAAAATGAAATATTCGGAATAGTAAGTCTTTTTTTAGAAAAAGAGAAAAGAATGAAATAACAATGATTCTAACTACTAAAATAAATTTATGATATAATGATTTTTATCGATTTAGGGATCCGATTATAGTATCTTTATTCTTAATTCTTGGCACTATTTCAACTAATTGAATATTCTATGATATTTGATAAATAAAGTTAAAAATTAAAAATGGTCCCTTAATTAGCAATAAGAACTTTATTCGTTTATTAAATGTACTATTACCGAAGAGGATTAAATTGATGATCATTTTATGCACAATTAGTAAGATATTTGATCCGGGATAATTATAATTATATAAATTAAGATTAGCTTGTTGTACTACTATTTTAATAGAAAATATTCTCTTCGCATATTTATTTATTTTTACCCTTGAACTTTTTTAACAAATACGAGGACAAATCGCAAAAATCATACAAAGCCACAATTCTGTTATTTTTAGTAAATTGAACGATTTAGTCAATGAAAAAAGAAATAGGGAGTTAATTATTTAAATTAGATGACACGATAAAGTCTTTGTTTGTTAAAATAATAATTGCGTTATGTTCGTAATGTAGCATAACGTCAAGAAGCATATTAATATGGGGGTAAACAAATTTAATTCACGTTCATAATGTAGTAAAATGTCGAATGAAGTAAATAAACTGAAAGGAGGTGCTTAAAGAAAAAATTGTCCTCGATTTTTGTATAAAAGGCTTCAAGAATTCTCTTCTTTTATGTTTTCTCACCTTTTAATTTTAAGGTACAATTAATAATAAATTTCAATTTATTAAAAATGAAATTTAATATTAAGAGGATTTTAATCCTCTTTATCTTATTATTTGTGATTGGATCAGTAGCAATCGAAACAAGCGTTCAAACCGTTAGTGGGGATAGTCTTCATTTGAAAGATTATACTAATGAAATTCAAAATCTTAATGAACCATACAAATTTATTAAAACCGATTATTTTAAACCCATTACACATCTTTCTTTCACTAATAAACCTGTAACTCGTTATTATCAATTGACATTGAAAAAAGTTAAAATGTCACCTGATGGTTTTGAAAGACCTGTTTGGAGTGTAAACGGTCAACATCCTGGTCCACTCATTCAAGCAAATAAAGGAGATAGACTTGTTTTAAATGTTACAAACAATTTTGATGATCCAGCAAGTATGTTTGTTTATAATTTATAATTGTTTATATTAATACTTATTGACATATTCACAATTCAATTATTTTTAGCTATTCACTGGCATGGTATGTTTCAACATGGTACAAATTGGTACGACGGAGTTCCAGGACAAGTAAGTAGACAATTTTTATATCATAGTTTTCTTTTTCTTTTTTTTTTCGGATTTTCTTTAATAATCAAAAAATAATCCCGTTCGTAATTAGACTCAATGTCCAATTCCAAACGATGTTTCTTTAGTCTATAATTTTAGTACAACCGATCAACATGGTACCTACTGGTATCACTCTCATTTTTTTGCCCAATACGTTGATGGTTTACGTGGATCACTTGTGTAAATTTTGATTTTTTTTTTTTATTAAAAAATGAATTATACATATATACTTATTGCTAATAATTTATATTTTTAACTCGATCAAAAAAAAGTGTTCACGACCCAGATGATCCATATTTAAATCAATACGATTTTGAATACCTTGTCGTGTTATCAGATTGGCATCATAAGTAAATATTTTTTCTTATAATGAATTTCAAAATTTGTTATATATATTTTTCTTAAAAAAATTATTTCTTTATTATAGTACAACTGGTGTTCTCTTACCACTTCAGGACGCTCCAGGTTATAGTGGTCTTCGCCCTATTCCAGATTCTCCACTTATATCCGGTCTTGGTAGATATAACTGTACCGCAGCTCCCCCTGGATCCAAATGTAAATCTAATCAACCATTAGCCGTATATAATGTTAAAAAGAATAAAAAATATCGTTTCCGTATAATCAATTCCTCGGCAGATGGTGTTTTCGTCTTCTCTATTGATCAACATAAACTTAAGGTTATAGAAGCGGATGGAATATATCTTAAACCAACCATAATTAAAAAATTACCCGTTGCCGTCGGTCAACGTTATTCCGTAATTGTTGATGCTAACCAACCAGTTGGAAACTATTTTATTCGTGGAACTCTCGATAAAAGATGTACTCCAATTAATAATGCAACAATTAATTTTAATTCCGCTATCGATTGGAATGGTCTTGGTATACTTCATTATGAAGGTGCAATAAATAAACCAAATTCGAAAGAATTCGATGATGATTTTACTCCTTGTCGTGATCTTGACAAAAAACATTTAAACCCTATTAAACCTATCACTAAATATGATGGTCATGTTACTGATTTTGTCAATATTACTATTACGTTCGGAAGGGATAAGAATCAAAGATTAAAAGCTTTAATTAATAACTCTTCATTCGTACCTCAAATGAATGATCCAACGGTCAATAAAATTACAAGAGATATCGATGCTAAAGATTTACCAAAAGAACAGAATTCTGTGATTTTTAATCACAATGGTGGTATTGCAGAAATTTACGTAAAAAACAATAACGGTGCCGATCATCCATTCCACATGCATGGTCATGTATTCGCTATAATGTATGTTGGTGAAAAAGGTGAAGTCCATGATAAAAGTAAATATAACAAGAGAAATCCTGTCGTTCGTGATACTTTAACTATTCCTGGAAATGGTTTTGTGGTTATTCGTTTCATCACTGATAATCCTGGTGTTTGGGCTTTCCATTGTCATATTGAATGGCACGTCGAACTTGGTATGGTTTTGGGAATTATAGAACTTCAAGATACTTTGAAAAAAGAAACTATACCGGAGGATGTTGTTGCTTTATGCTTAGAACATGATCTTCAAAAGAGGACAACTCGAAAAATGTTAAATTCAATTGTAATTAATGAAATTAGAAGTTACGATTAAAAATTAGTCAATAGATATTTTAAAAACTTTTTAGATAAAATAAATCAGTAATAATAATAATTAATAATAATAATTTTAGTACACTGTTTTTTTTTTTCTTTGATTTCACAAAAAAATTTTTCTCGCATTTTATTTTTTTCATTAGATAACAACTGAAACTTTCAATGTATCACTACTGCATAGTAATATATGAGATAACTATCATTTTAAAATAATAAAATTCGTTTAAAATTCTTATAATTTTATAATATTTTCGTTAAAAACTAGTTAAGCGATTAAATGAGTAGGACAATTTTTTCCATTAACTCGCCATTATTAACTGCGGACAGTATAACAATATTGTGCGATTTGCCACTACTTCTTTATGCGTAACAAATTATTGATATACTCGTGAAGTTTAATAATCATTTGATTTTCACGGCGCAGCTGCATAACTAACGGCTGCATGTGACTTATTAATTCTGGCCAGAATTATAAATTAGGCCAGAATTAAATTTTCGAAACCAAAAATAAGTGATCTTAAATTTAATAATTTTCAAATAATTTAAATATCGCTATAAGTAATAAATAACGATAAAAGTTTTTGGTAATAGGAACTCAATGTCTTAAATTATAAGAAGTAACTAAAGAATACAAAATATAAATAAAACTCTTAAAACTTCTGAAATGAGGTGATACTGTAAAATTATAAAAGTGAAAGACTGAAAAATAATTCCGAAAGTTAAACTCAAAAATCAATTATTGAAACTTTGAAATATCTACATATTCTACACATTCAGCACCATGTTGTGAATCTATAAGAGGTTATATATTAAAAAAGAATGTTCAATAAGGGTGATGGTGCGAACTACACTTCAATCCCTGCCAAAGTCAAGCGTAGCACTGAATAATTGCATCCCAATACATTTAATGCATTAAGAGGAGTATCAATTTACGTGAGAAGTTAAATTTCAACCCATATTCAAAAATAGTTCTCAGAACAACACATGAAAACATGACATTACTAATAATAATGAGTAATAATATTAACATGTTTCGACTGCTGCTGTTTCATGCATTTATTTTTGGGACAACTATTTCATATTTGGTTTTATTACCATAATTAAATTTATAAAAAAAAATATAAAATATTCAAAAAGATACACTAAATTAATTATAATCACTAGCGTATTTGCATATCCATTCTCACGCAATATCTTCATAACGAGAGCGATCAGTTTTATATATGTAAGCAATTTCGGAGTCAAACGTAATTTCTAATAATTAAAAAATTTCATTTGAGGAGGAATAAAGTTTTTTTTTTAATTTGGGATAAAAATATCAACATATTATTATTTTTTTATGTTGAATATTAGCATAAATAATACGCGACTGGATTTGGATCAGTCAGCAATGAACAAATTGATAATAACACTTGGAGAGAAATTATTATATTTTTTAATTGATAACTTTTGCCTTAAAGAATTATTATAACAATTTTATTAACAATTAGTGTTAATACTGGTGACCATAGAGGACCTAGGCGGTCTAGACCTATACATCCATCACTGTTGATACTTGGATAATAAACTTTTGTTTTAAAGATTATCTTGGGATATATGAGAGACTGAGAATAAGTTCTTACGATCAAAAATATACACACAACACAAATGAACACATTTATATAAAATATACACCGTTGGCGGTTTCAATGGATAACCTATGGGGAAATGAATATCAAGAAAAAATACACCACCCAAATACGGAGAGTTAGGCTATCCAATCAAAATGTAAAATTAAAGTTAAAATCTGGTATAAAAAGAAAAAAATAATAATTAGTAATGAAGAAAGCAATATTTGCTTACAGGACCAATAATTGCAGCTTCCCAATGAAAAAGGTCATCATCCCCATCACCAATAGGAGCAGCACTGATAAGCGGCATTGAATCATTATCTATATCATGTTTTTTTCGGTTTTTCCTAACAAACGATTAAAATTGATAATAAAGTTTTAAGTATTAAAAAAATTTCATAAAACTTACTTTACGTCGCCCATTTCGTTGTTAAGAGAAAAAATTACTGAAATTGATATTTTTTTCGCTTTTATTTTTTTATTGTTGAATCCAAATTTAATCACCAAAAAAGAAATTTACTATAATCAAAAGGTTTCATTAGGCCATTATAATGCACGTTAAATAAATAGGTCAAATAGTCAATAACAACTATTTTTATTTTCTGATTCCAAAAATGATATATTTTGGATTAATAATTGGTTTAGTGATACGACTGATACGCGTCTAAAGCCAAGTTCGTTCACGTGATCATAAGCCAATTATAATGTCTGGCTATTTATAGTGACCAATTAAGGTACGTGATTGAATACGCCCCTTTTATAACTAGTTAGTTCTTAAGATTTACATTGTTGTAACAAAAAAGTTGCCGTTTGAAAATAATATTTTTATAAACATCAAAATACTTTGTTCTATGCTTTATATATATATTTATTGACTTATCACCATTCTATTAAATGTATTTGCAAAAAAAAACCTCGTCTATTTGCATTTTCTCCCTATAATACCTTATAATAAATATATTGGTAATATACATTTAGCAAAAAAAAATATATCAAGAAGCAAGTATTCTTCTTCATGTTATTGGATATAATTAATTAACCACCTAACTAGTGATTTCACTATAATATGCGCGATAATGGTATGTTTTTTTTAATGGAACATACACCTTTATTGTAATATAATAAACTGGTCATTTTATTCATTTTATGTAATCATATTAAAAGCATGTCACTTTTCTTTACCATAAAAAATGATTATAACTAACATTTGAAACCTAATTGAGGAACAAAATTATTTTTTAGAAAAATGTATAAAATTTTAGTACATAATAAAAATTGACATGAAATGTTAATGAAAAAAATATTAATAGAAAATATCCTTTTGAAATTTCTGTTCACTGAACTATCTTCTATAATTATTAAAAATTGTCATGGCAATTTTTTCATTACACACTGTAAATGTTAATTAATTATTTCCTTTAATTTCATCAGTATCATAATTATAAAAAAAAAAATTGGAATGGAAAATGTAACAAGAAAGAAGGATAAATTTTTACATGTTATATTAATTAAAATATAAAGTTGTATCTATTTATTAAAACTTAAATTCTAAATTTTTCTATGAAAACTATTATTAGACCAATATTTTTTAATTCTAAACTAGACCTATACTGCTATGGCCGCCTATTTGTGGGCTTCAAAATATAATTAGTTGTAAATGTATAGTCAAATAAAATACTTTTTTTTAAAAATACCCAATTGTTTTATTATTCTTATTACTTATATAATAACTGTTCACATAATTTAGGTTTGTTTATGACATAGGAAGTGGTCGTGATGTTATTTGTTCTTTACTGTTATTTTACTTTTATTAGAAAAAGTTTAATACATTACACCTAGTGATGTTTAAAACCCTATATCCATCCTAATAAGCACAATAAAAATTTAATGTATAACAGATAACTGACATACTCAACTTTTGTAATAGGATTAACTAAAGGAAACATAGTCACCTTAGTAGTGAACACGCTGGGACAAAGTCCATGTCATGTCCACAAGTGGCTTTAATATCATTTTTGCCCAAATGAACTGATATTTGCATTGTGACTTAAATGAAATTTCAGGGACTTGGCCCCATTCTGATAATTTATTCAGAATATCATCATGTAGCCAGGCTGTTGGTATGTCATAAATCAAAATTGTATGCACTTGACCTTTTTGCATCTCATGAATTACATTGTTGTTCATGGTTAATCTAGTGATCTTGCCCTTTTTATCTTTGATTCCATCTGTGTTATATCTAATGAAGTTGGTGTACAAATGGGCTTTGATGTAGATGTGCAACTGATTGATTATTGAGATCACCTTCCTATACCTATGGATTGATCACATTTACATTTACTAATATATGCACTTGTGATTGCTCTTTAGCCTTCTCTTTATTCTGTGGCTGTGGCTGCTGCACCTTAGATCATTTTTGGGTGAGAGAAAGAAGATGATGCTATTTGTTCTAAGGAAGAATATTCTTTAGTTCCACTTTCTATTTTGGTCAGGTGATTTATAACATATATTTGTAACATTATTAACCTAAATTTTACAATAACTTTTTTTTTTTTAAAACAATGCAAAAATCTTGAAATATCTGCTATTTTAGTTATATTTGTTTCATGTTTATTTTTGATTGGTACCATTAGTGATGATGGTTATGTTGTTTGTGTTGTTGAATTCTTTTGTATGAGAGCAATTCTTTATTCTATAACAGATTTGAAGATCCTTCATTATGTGAATCAGTTTTTATTCATGGAACTATAATACTATTATTTGATTTTATTTTTGCTGATATTAAACTGAAATTCCAAAAGTTCACAGTACAATTGATCTTTTGCAAAAAAAAAACACTTCTATTGTACTATATATGAACTGTTAAACTTTCCTTCCTTTTGTTAATGCATTCTTGAATCATCCATTTGATAGGTGAGTTAAATTTATAGTAAATGGAGTAAATTGATCCTTAGATAAATATGGGTTTTACTTGTATTTGTAAAGTATGTTCACTTTCTGTTAATTCTGCATGCCTAAAGTCTTTCCATAAAGTAGTACAGTTTGTTATATTATAAAAATATCTTCCTTATCAATAAGAAGATGTACATTACTTGTAATAAAGACCAACTTGTGCTGTTAAAAATTTTCTGTAACTAATAAATATCCACTCCATTCCCTTATCTTTTTCTCCAATACTTTGTTGCTCAATAATTCTTTCATTTAATGTCTCATTATATGTTGCAACTTCATTATTATATTTCATCTGCTTAAAAATTCTTTCAGCTATTTTCGCAACTTCATTATTACTTTCAGTTGAGGTCGTAAATACTTGTTTTCATGTTACTAAATGAATTACATTTTCTTCCTTAAGTGATGATGTTACTTCAGATTCATCATTTAAATCAATGTCTGTTTCATATATTAATGTCATACAATTGTAAAACTTATATATTTGAAATGTATTCTTATTATCATCAACTCAAGAAATAGCTGTGCTTTTTTGCAAGATACCATTAGAAATAATGGCTACCTCTTATTGGTGTCATGTAACAACTGATACAATTAAAGATTATGAAAGATGGTGAATACAAATTTATTTAATACATTAATATCCTTACTTTTTTTTAATGATGGTTGTGCTTGTGATCATAATCAAACAATCATTTTTTCTTTGCAGATGCAATAGACACAAAAAGTATATATATGATAGATAGTTGTAATGTTTGTAATTATAGGTATATTATTTGCCAGTTTAGATTAGAATTTTTCGTTATATTAGGAATTGTTTTGTTATTAAGATTGTTTACCGATATTGCTAAACATTGCTGTAGCAATTCCTTAAGCACTTCTTGATTTTTCTGTAGCGATTCCTTAAGCACATCTTGATTTTTTGTGGTGTGTGCTTCGATTATAGTTGCTATATTATTGTCAGAAATTATTTCATAGTACAATTATTATTATTATCATCTACTTTTACTACTTTTACTTTTCTTTTCTAACATTATATTTTTTATCTGTGAATTTTGTGATTTATATGATACTATATTATGTGCACAATGACCTTTAACAATTCATGTCTTAATTTATAAACATCTTGTCTTACAGCTGATCAATACCATGATTATAATAAGAAAATTAATATTGAAAACCTTTATTATTCATTTCTTTTGTATTTTTAAATAATTCATGGGTTATAGAATTTGGTAAATTAAGTGCATTTTCTAAATTGTTGGCAAGCTTCCATAAAGAATCTTGATTTTACAGTTTATTCTTCTCTAATTAAAGCTATATCACCTATATATTCTGATAATAGCATTGTAAGATAATCTCTTTCAGCTTGTATAGATGATATTTGTTTTTTTAAATTTTCACTATCCATACAATTCCTACATATATTTTTATGAAAGAATAGTCACATCAATTATCAAATATTTTTCACAACTGCTCATAAAAATGGAAACATTAAAAATTAGAAAGAATACCAGAAACTGGTAACTACTTGACCTGGTCATTATTTTGGTTTTGATGAAGCTCTTGAAAAATTTGATGTAATGTTTATTTGCAAAGCTCTAAATTCAGTACAGAGTTCTTGTTTAGACCTTGACTTTCTTTCTTACTTTATCTGCCACTTCCAAATGTTGTTCAACAAAGGTCTTTTTAAACTCAACTGCCAAATTTTGGTTGATGTTGTTTGAATGTCCAGGCAATTTTGGCAACTCCAGAAAGCTTAAATATGTAGTATAATCAGTTGCTACGCATAGTGGCATCATAAGGTACTGCCCGTACTGGTTACTTCCTTTTCCAAAAATTGGCATAAACATAAATGATTTTTGTAAATTTTGATCATCAATAGCATATGATAAGAAATGGTTACAAATCTTGCATAATTACTTTTCCAGCAACTGGAAAAAGTGGAGAAAATGCCAACAAATTTTTAAATTGCATATTATAATCCTTAGCTAAACTAATAACCCAACAAAATCATAGTACTATACTTTTAACATATTATTTATTATTATCATATTCATATTCAATATTATCTATAGTTTTACCTTTTTGATACAAGTATTTCATATTACTATGCCAACAGCTATTCCAATTAACTCTAATACATAATAAGTAGCTTGGTAATCAATAACTTTTCCAATTTATTTTAGTATGAGAATCCAAGATTTGCAGCTAAGTTAAAAATACCATATCCAGAAAATATTGTTATTAAAGCACTACTCATCTTTTGAAATATGCTATTAACCTAAAAATAATCTTGCATTATCTTTTTTTCATGATAGGATATTAATTATCTAAAAATTACTTCTTCATAAGCGATATCTAAATAATTGTTATTTGAAATCCTTACATCATTATAATACATTTCAC